CCCCCCCCACCTTGGCTGAGCAGCTTTTCCCATGCCCCTTTCCTCCCCACAACCCCAACAGACCAGCTGAAGGCAGCCATGTCAGCTGCCTGTTTAGTCTATGGCCGAATCACCAAATCTTTTTCCGAATCAATTTGGATGCTTCAAATAGATTCAGAGCTTTTAATTGGTCTCCTGATTCAATTTGGATTTGGAGATTCAGTCCCCGAATCGGGCTGACTCTCCAAATTGAATTGGCTACTGAAGCTTCGCACAGTGCTAGCAATTACCTACCCATCAGCCCTGTTGTCTCTCTGCAAATTTGTCTACACAGAGACAAGCCCTTACCTTTCTCTAAAAGTGCAATTTCAAGAAGTTAAATGAATAAAGGATATCAAACAACAAGAATGCACTTTTTGTAGAAAACGTTGATTAAATTGAGGCTTCCTGACCAGTGTTTTAAATCATGACTTAATCAATTTGGTTTAAATCATATCCACCCTGGAAAAAACTCTAATACATAATGGCAAAAGGAGTTTTGCTGGTGCAGCTGCAGCCATATTTAAGCTGAAGGCCTTTCTGACATAACTTTGTTGATCTAACTTAGTGAGTCTTACCTTGGGGTACCTTGAGAACCTTTTGGGGGTATTCTGTGATACTATGCAATGTTAGCACTGTTAGGTATGCAAACACAATTCACAAGAGAACCCAGAGATTTCAAATATGAATCCAGAGTGTTAAAAACATTCTGACCGGCTGTGATCTTTCTGAGTTCTCTGCAGCAGGAAAATTGCTCTATTATTTTTCTCTAGTCAAAAAACAAGAGAAAACTAAGAGTTGACACTTTCTGAGGAGTGCCTCAAGTCTATCTAGGGTGTCTTGAGATGGAAAAGTTAGATCAGTAATTCTCAACTTCTTTAATGTTTAAAACTGATAATAGTAGCCATGGTTTTTTCCCTGCATTGACCAAGTCTTAGTCTAAGCACAAATGTTGATATTGCATCTGTCACAGGACTGCATTTTATTGCACTTGGGTTTCAGGAGTGGGATTAAGCCTCTGTAATGCTACTTGAGGTTGGTCTTAACTGTGGAGATTCTTCACTGTTTTTAGTGAAGCATAGCATTTGGCTTCTTGGCTTTGCTGATGTCAACTTGAATGTTGTTGTCGTCTGAGTCTTCATACAGTCTTTAACTCAGGAGTAGGCAAAATATGGCCCACAGGCTGGAGCCAGTCTGCCAAGGGATTATATCTGGCCACGCCAAATCCCTCAGCCCCATCTGGCCCTGACACAGGGGCGGGGTCCAGCCCAGGCTATGGCATGTGTGGCTGGTCCTGCTGGCTGTGGGCACAGGTTAGCAGCCAGACTTGACTTCCTGGCAGCCCCCACAGTAGCAGCTCATTCTGCCTGGCTGCTGCTGCCAGTGTCCCTGATGCCACTGGACTCAGCCCTAGTGCCCAGGCACTCCACTGTCCGCCCCACAGGCACTGGTTTTGCAGGCAGGGGCTGGCCACTTCCTACAGAACCAGTGTCCATGGCAGGGATGTATGGAGAACAGATTGCTGCTCTGCCCCAGGCCCCAGCCTCATGCTGTCACCACTACCCCAGTCTCAGCCCTGGCCACCCAGCCCACTCCTACATGCCGCTCCCCACCTGCCTGCAGCCCCATCCCATCCACCTGGCCAAGGGCTGGTCTCCATGGAGACCCCCCCACACACCCACTCTGTCCAGTGGCTCCAGCAGTGGGTTAGAGGCAGATAGGCCTGGGGTGAGATAGGATCAATTGCTCCCACCTCTCCAGACCAGGTCAGGTCAGGTCAGCCCTTCCCCTCCCCAGCCCACTACAGCTCAATAAATCTCCTTAAGTGGCCCTCCAGCCCAAATAATTGCCCACCCCTGTTTTGACTGGATTAATTCCATTGTCTGCAGTAGAGTGCCTAGATTAACTTGAGATATATGCCAGTGCAAGTGGAAATAGGATCTCTTTGAGTAACTGAACACACAGTGCAAGAAGTGAAAAAGTGAATGAGAACTGATGTTTACAATGTAATGTAACTTTTTTCTGTATCTCTGTCATGTCTTATTCTTTTTTATCTTGCCTT